TAAAGACCAATCAGATTGGAACGACTATCTATCATTCGCTTTGTTTACTTACAACGTAATACCACATTCTAGCACTAATTATGTTCCATATGAAATTGTTTTTGGCCGCCCGCCAAATGTACCCACATCGTTCTCACAACTGTAATGGATTACTACAATTAACTAAATGACCGATTTCTCCTCGAACGTTAATAATGCACGACCTAAATGGGTTTTTTCTCTACTTTGTAGCCCAAGGTAAAACAACGTAATAAATTGTAAAATCCAATTATAAATTGTAAAAACCAATGTATTCATACAACTATAAGAAATCGTGTACTCTGTACCTAGCCAAAGGGTAAAACCACGGCATAAATTGTAAACTCCAATTATAAATTGTAAAAAACCGATTTATTTATACACTATAAGAAATCATATACTTTGTACAAAGAGAGATTGTAAAAACACACGAATAAGCCATTTTAATAAATCAACTATCCGACAATGTTCCACAATTAACAATGGACAGCTCAGCCATTCACCCGCAAACCCGGACTCGAGGATTGGCCATTGCACCACTGGGAGAGGTCAACGAGCCGCCAAAGGACGACTCCTTCCACGGCGATCGGACGGCCCATTTGACGTAAATACGAGCCGCCTCGCCATGCCAGCTTCAGAAGTGTTTTGGCTGTGTATTTGATACCTGCAACATAACCACCACGATTACTGTTTTGTACACTGAACTTATACACGTTGAAATTACAAATACTTACTTTATTTTTGTCTTTGAGAGTTTCTTTTCATTTTTTTTTAAACCTTCAAAACCATCTTCAACCTTTTGTGTACAAGTACTCAAAGGCCACGAACTTGCGAGAACTTTACACAACCATTAAGACCTATTTACAATTATGACTCTTATTTATGTAAATTACGACATAAAATGCAATTAGCAAATGAAATCGCTAGGCAAAACTAAATCAAAAGAAATATATGATCGCACCGTCAATTCTTTAGATTTAGACGTAAATGATCAAGTTTACATGTTAAATCACAATAAAGCAAATAAACTTTGCGAAGAATGGAGTGGACCTTTTACAATAAGACATTCATGATAATCATAATATTACAATTAAAAAGGGGAGGAAAGACGTAAAACTACACATAAATAACGTAAAGAAATGTGTAAATAATTCACTTTAAAAAATTATAACCTCTTTCTTTTGTATATAATATTAACACATGAACATTTTATATTCTAACTTTATTATTCTCATATAAAAAAAAAATATTATCTTATTCTATTGACCTTTCACTTTTATTGAAACACTATTGTTCTGGCAAATACATGGCATTGGTACTATCTCACAATATCATTTTCAACTTGTCATAAAACCTGTTCAGAATTATTATACTAATAAGGCATTGTTTATATAGGAATTTCATTGTCATCGATTTGGAGTTCATGAATTTGAACCCGGAAGAACGAGTTCTCGTTTCGGGAGCCATAGCGAACTCGTTGGATAGATTTGATATCGTTCACCTTACAGGGAATCCCATTGTAATTAATAAACGGGGATACATTAGACCTCTTAAATTATCCACGGAATACCCCGAATTTGTAAGGGAATGCCAACGGATTTTCGGCAAGACCGAGACATCCACTAATGAACGACTCTATCCATTACTTGCCGAACTGTATGACAGCATACACGAACCTCTTAACAACCTTAACCCGGAATACATAAAATCTTATATTACTAAACGGGGGGACGCTTCTTTTATCGTTCTTTGGAGTGGGGATACTGATAGGACCATTTTAACCCAGTTAGGGATACATTTTACAATGCTTAACTTAACAGCCAGAGACCTTTCCAATACAGGGACATATACATTAACTCTAACGAATTTCACGACGCGTAGAACGCTATTCTCTATAGAACTCGGTCCAGTAGTTACCGCAAAAGGGAATGTATTAAGTCTATTTCACACACATTCTGTCTTTTGTGGTAGGGGACATTTTAACTGTATACAACCACACCATCCGATTACAGACCTACAATGGACTAGGTGCATATTTGACAGATTAGTTAGGAAAATGACATACAAACGACTATGTGCCGAGCTAACAAACTCACATTAGCTACTTCTCTACTTCTTTTAACACAAAATTCTAAAGTACTTATGCATAAATACGTACGGGTACAACTTCTTCTAAACACGATTATCTACAATATTCACAGACCAGTTGCTTTATAATCGAACATTGTTATTATTATAAAATGATTTAATACATTACAGAATGTTTTGGATCACCACCCTTCCAGCGTTTTTTGTTCATATACAAGCCACGCTGATAACTGATACCAAGTTCGAATCGGGACTTTACTATGAACATCAAGGGATATTGAAAATATCGAATGACCGATGGAAACTAGTGACATATTATGATTTCAGTAATTACATTACAAACGCTCAAACACTAACAAACATCACAGTGGAAACTGATAAATTATGTACTTTCATCGACACATTAGGTAGTCATAGTAACAAGACCTATAGTTCTTTCTGCACTGCTATGAGTGCGAAACAAAAACTTACAAAAACTAACATAGATATCCGAAGGGAAGCATTATTAGATGTAGTAGGGTATAACCCCAACTACAAACACTTTTCTAAACGCTCGATTACTAATACTATAAAAAACATAGCACACGTACTATTCGGAGTATGTGACGCTCTATGTTCAGATACTAACTTAGGTCATATACAGAATATACATAACTCAGAAAATCAACAATTAGATGTACTAGATAAACAAATAAAAATCATTAAATCTGGTATGACATCCTTACACACTTTAACTAAAAATCTTAATGATAATACTCAAGTAATTTCTAAACAATTGGATAAAATAAATCAAAGTTTGACCAGTATAGCGACACTTAATGAAATAGGCTTTGCCGTTACACAGCAGTTTCTATTATTGAACGCTTTAACGGACCAGTACGATTCTGATACAAACTTGTTGTCGGATTTAGTACACGCCGCACAGGTAGGACAAATACATTCGAGTATTATAACACCCAGTGAACTTTTAGACACTCTAAAAGACATAAAAGTACATTTACCAAAATCAACTGACTTACCTGTAGGTTTCACCACTGCCGACGTTGGTGAGTTACTAAAGATTTCTGAGACAACTATATTTTCAAAGAACCAAACTATTGTATTTGTAATTGATATACCAATTGTAAACCAAATTGAACTAAACTTATATAATTTAATACCTTTACCTAAACATGTTACTAATGATCAATATATTTACATTGATTCTAATTATGACTATATTGCTGTTAGCAAAAGTAAAGACTATTATACAACTTTTAACAACCTACAAATATTACAATGTAAACGTACTAAAAACTTTATCCTATGCCCGCAATACCAACCGTTACACCCTAAATCTATGAAACCTATTTGTGAAATTGAATTGATTTTTCAACCACCTAAATTACCTTTGGATTGTAAAATAAAATATTTTGAATTAGACACTAGTATTTTTCACAAATTACTTTTTAAAAATTCTTGGTTATATATTACCAGGGAAGAAAATATTTTATTAACTTGTAATGAAAATATAGAAACCAGTAACACCCGTATCCATGGGGTAGGATTAATACATATACCCGTTAATTGTAAAGCATATTCCAATCAGGATGTGCTGATTCCAAATATAATTAATGAGAATAGCGATTACATTGATTTTGTACCACAGATTAACATTACTAACACTAGTTATACGGATAAGTTAAATATTTTAAATGTAAACAAATTATTGACAGACCATGTATTAACTAACAAACTTAATGATGTGAAACGTATATCTGAATCATTATTAAATGTACCTGATAAACTTAATCAGAAAGATTTTCAATACAATGTAATAACTAATACTAGAAGACATGACATGTTGTTATACACCATTTGTACAATAATTATACTTTATTGTCTGTATTTTGTTTCAACCCTTGTAACAAGACTTTTCCCATGTAATAACAGAATATACAATTTTTGCTCTGAGTCTGTTACTAGGCCAACCAATACTGACGGAGTTGGACAACCGCTTTCTACAACGGACCCTGCCAATTTTGAAGATGTTGAACTTCAACCAAGAGTGGCAACTCATCATATCGCAACCAGGGACGTTTTACACTATCCACCACTATACTAAAGAGGACATCCGACGAAATATGCCTCTTTACTTAAGGAGGGGCGTGTGACGCAAAAGCCTTCACGTCCATTCTACTGCTACAACCATACGGCGATGACAATCCCTATATGGTCATTCATCTAAAATAGCTCCTTATTTAGACTTTAGTACTATTATACTATTACGTCTCTGCGTTCTACATATGACGACATCCAGGACACTACTATCAATGGTCTAGTTATGAGTCCAACTATCACCGTCCAGGGCCGACCGACCACTATAAGTACCCACTGCGAACAGGGCTAATTGGTCAGACGTCGTCCAGTGCTCTACAGCTCAACGTTCTGTTTTACGAGACCTATTGTCCATACTTAACTGTTATTTACATTGTGTTGATAAACGTTTCTTATTTAACATACATATTAAAGGTTATTACTAACTTTGGTTGTTAAATTCTGTTCTGCCTACCCTCTTCCATCCTCACACGGCCTCCAACGGCAGTCCAGAGCCGAAGTATTATCAACACTGCTAAACTTCCAGCTCTGGAAAAGTCCGACATTAAGAGTCATGATAAACTTGAAGAACAAAATGTATTCAATTCCGGTATGCCTCGATCCAAATACCGAAAACGCTCAGCACAACAAGAATCTGTTCGATTCGTATCTTATACTGCTGGGTCAGATTTATTGAAAACAGAGGATTGCTTAAGAATACGCCGTTAAGTTGTATAACGAGTATATGGGAAGAAATTCCACTTACCTCTCGGACATATGTGTCCCTGAGGGACGCGAAGAATTTATTAAATTATATGATGAACTTAACATGGGACTCCAACAATGCGATCAATCAACGCGTGAACAATTCCGACTCGTCTCGGAACACGGCGACCACGTCCACATCGTCCACGCGTGCACATATTCAAACGCAGCTTGTCGCTGTTCCTGGCTCCGTCGTAGCACCGTCTGGAGGTCACGGCGAAGATTTCGATATCGACGACGAGTTTTCGTCGCTGACCTCCAAATTAACGACTGGGAGAATATCATTAGATATTTCTCTTCAGAAGGACACGCAATCAAAAACAGCAAAGGCGCACGTCCTTATGGAGGATTACGTCTACGAGCTGAAGATGTACAAGTAAGTTGTTCAACGATAATTTTTCGATTTTCGACTAACGTTATTAAATTATAGGAAGGAGGACATTCGCAACTTGGACAAATCGCAATGGTACACCCGTGTCCACGTCAAGGCGGTGGGGACTGTGAAACAGGGGCATCCGACCAAGAAGAAGCTGGACGGATTGGTTGGAGATCTAATGGCCGACTTGAAAACAAAATCCAATCTTCGCATGGAGAAGACATTCACCTATGGCCAAAAACACTAGACCAATTACTATTAACTTATCCGTGCTGCCCGCCAGACGCTTTTTTCAATATTAAAGAATTTTATAATAACCCTAAATTAAATTTTCTGGACGATACGTCTAAAAAAGTTAGAGTCGCCCTGCGCAATTGGTGTGCCCGTATCGCCGAATGGTCAATATCGGATTTTGATAAATTTTACAACACCCCCGGCGTATTTCCATAATTCAACGCTTACGCTCGCCAACACGATCAGGTGTACTACGACGTCGATGTTCGGTAAAAATCGCTAACGACTTGCTAGAATTACAATTCCAAAACGATTCCGATACCATCTCGAAATTCCTCAAGGACATTCACGACATATGCGATAAAAAAATACCGAAACGCAATTCGATGTGCGTAGTTAGTCCACCATCTGCCGGCAAAAATTACTTTTTCGACGCAATTGCGTCATTCTTTTTAAATTATGGTATGTTCGGAACCGCTAACAAAACAAACAAACTTTTCGTGGGCAGATGGTGCCGGCAAACGCCTCGTGTTGTGGAACGAGCCCAACTACGAAAATTATCATATTGAAAAAATTAAAGAACTACTGGGTGGCGATACGACGCGCGTGCACGTCAAGTACAAGGGCGACCAACCTCTGCAAGGGCCTCCGATTTTTTTATTAACAAACAATTCTCTAAACATATGTTCCGATCCCGCGTTTGCGGACCGGTTAGTCACTTACGAATGGCGGGCAGCACCTTTTTTAAAATTATACGATAAAAAACTAAACCCTTTGTTCTTTCCTAAATTATTAAAAGATTGAAAAATTATAAAATAATAACTGTATTGTATGTAATAAAATATTTATTTAACCACAACCATATGTATTTTTATTTATTAATATTAATGTTAATGTAAATACAATTGAAATAATTTTAATTGTGACCGTGCCTGTGACGGTGAGCTGTACGATAACTCTCGAGTGAAATTGATTGCTATGCTTGGTTGACTCTGGCGATAAATTCTCCGTTGACGGTGGAATATTGTGTTTGGAAATATGTGTTGGCGTCTGTAGACTTGAGTTTAGTCACGTAGTGCCCGGACTCCATGGGTTCCAAATATGGTTTATCGTAATGGGTTAGGTTCATAGTACCATAATTATATGATAAGTGCATTTCGGTTTCGACATCCCACTGTATTTCTACGTCTGTAAATTTTTCAGGCTTGTTTTTAATCCGTTGTTGTCAGCCTTGGCACGGGAAAAACGCCAACGTGCAACGAAGGCTGTAAACATTCAAATTAAAAGTTATTACTAACTTTTCGGTTGTTAATTCTGTTCTGCCTACCTCTCTTCCATCCTCACACGGCCTCCAACGCAGTCCAGAGCCGAAGTATTATCAACACTGCTAAACTTCCAGCTCTGGAAAAGTCCGACATTAAGAGTCATGATAAACTTGAAGAACAAAATGTATTCAATTCCGGTATGCCTCGATCCAAATACCGAAAACGCTCAGCACAACAAGAATCTGTTCGATTCGTATCTTATACTGCTGGGTCAGATTTATTGGAAAACAGAGGATTGCTTAGAGAATACGCCGTTAAGTTGTATAAACGAGTATATGGGAAGAAATTCCACTTACCTCTCGGACATATGTGTCCCTGAGGGACGCGAAGAATTTATTAAATTATATGATGAACTTAACATGGGACTCCAACAATGCGATCAATCAACGCGTGAACAATTCCGACTCGTCTCGGAACACGGCGACCACGTCCACATCGTCCACGCGTGCACATATTCAAACGCAGCTTGTCGCTGTTCCTGGCTCCGTCGTAGCACCGTCTGGAGGTCACGGCGAAGATTTCGATATCGACGACGAGTTTTCGTCGCTGACCTCCAAATTAACGACTGGGAGAATATCATTAGATATTTCTCTTCAGAAGGACAACGCAATCCAAGACTGCAAAGGCTCATGTCTTATGGAGGACTATGTTTACGAACTCAAGATGTACAAGTAAGTTGTGAATATCATTTTACGTATTATCGATTAATGCCTATGAATTATAGGAAGGAGGATATACGCAATCTAGACAAGTCTCAATGGTACACCCGTGTCCACGTCAAAGCGGTGGGACAGTGAAACGAGATCATCCGACCAAGAAGAAACTGGACGGACTGGTTGGCGATCTCATGGCCGACTTAAAAACCAAATCAAATCTGCGAATGGAGAAGACGTTCACTTATGGCCAAAAACATTAGACGACCTATTATTAACATATCCGTGCTGCCCGCCAGACGCCTTTTTTAACATTAACGAATTTTACGATAATCCCAAATTAAATTACTTAGACGAATCGTCTAAAAAAGTTCGAGTCGCCTTGCGCAATTGGTGTGCCCGTATTGCCGAATGGTCCATATCTGATTTCGATAAATTTTATAACGCACCAGGCGTATTTCCCTATTTCAATGCTTATGCTCGTCAACACGATCAAGTGTATTACGACGTTAATCTTTCAGTGAAAATAGCCAATGATCTATTAGAATTACAATTTCAAAACGATTCGGAAACTATTTCAAAATTTCTCAAGGACATCCATGATATTTGCGATAAAAAAATACCAAAACGCAATTCAATGTGTATTGTTAGTCCACCATCTGCCGGTAAAAACTATTTTTTCGACGCAATCGCGTCTTTTTTTAAATTACGGTATGTTCGGCACTGCAAACAAAACAAATAATTTTCATGGCCGATGGTGCCGGCAAACGACTCGTGTTGTGGAACGAACCCAATTATGAAAATTACCATATAGAAAAAATAAAAGAATTATTGGGAGGCGATACAACACGTGTTCACGTAAATACAAAGGCGATCAACCGTTGCAAGGGCCTCCAATTTTTTTGTTAACAAATAATTCCTTAAACATATGTTCGGATCCCGCATTTGCGGACCGTTTAGTAACTTATGAATGGCGTGCACGCACCTTTTTTAAAAACATATGATAAAAAATTAAATCCATTGTTTTTTCCTCAATTATTAAAAAATTGGAAAATATTAAATAACGAATAACAAGATGTATTATATATAATAAAATATTTATTTAACCACAACAACACATGTATTTTTATTTATTATAATATAAGAATTTGATTTCAATCTGGTTTCTGGTGACCGTGCCTGTGTCGGTGGGCTGTACGATAATTTTCAAGTGAAATTGATTGCTATTTGTTGACTCTGGCGATAAATTCGCCGTTGACGGTGAATATTGTGTTTGGAAATATGTGTTGGCGTCCGTGACTTGAGTTTAGTCACGTAGTGCCCAGATTCCATGGATTCCAAATATGGTTTATCGTAATGGGTTAGGTTCATAGTACTATAATTATATGATTAGTGCATTTCGGTTTCGACATCCCATTGTACTTCTACATCTGTAAATTTTTCGGGTCTTGTTTTCAAATCCGATGTGTCAACCTTGGCACGGGAAAAACGCCAACGTGTAACGATGGCTGTAAACTCGTATCGCTAGTATCGAACATTCCTCGTTTTATGTATTGAGATTTCTCTATTGGAGTGGTATATGCAGAACCGGTTCGTCAGGATCACGTTGCAGTATGTATTAGATACGGCTTTTGGGCCGCTGGGGCCATATGACGTTTCAATGGGGTTATCACTCTACGTTCACACCGGAAACTCTGAATCCAGTGCACTGGGAATGTGCCTACACGTTTTAGGGGGTATAGCAATTTACCCTCCTCACACCCGAGCCGCAGGCACGTAACCTTTAAACCGGATAAACCCAAGAAACACTATATGTCCCTTAGGCCGAAACGTATTTAACACATAATTAGTGTAAATTACCAACTTATATTCCATATACGTTATAAACATAATTATTATTGTTCTGTTTAGGAAGCAAATAAAATTCATAATCATGGATTTTGAATTCAATCCAAATGGCAAAAACTATGACGTAGTTTCAGGAGCTCTCGTACCTAGCCTTTTGAAATTTTCCCCCACCAGGCTAAAAGGAGCTCCCGTTCGAGTCACCTCGGAAAAGGTAAGGTTATTGACCGTACCCGAGCTGGGCGATCTAAGGCAGAAATGCTTACGATTGAAACCGAGACTACCTGCAGTGTTCGGTCCCTTTCTAAAACAACTGGACTTAAGTCTAGCTGTCAAGGGACCATCCACATTAACAGCAGACTTCATCACTGCATGTGTACATGAAGGGTCTCGAAAACCAGTGGTAGTCTTTTGGGCGGCTCGACGGACTACCTCATATGTAAGGGCCTAGGATTAAGAAACATATACAAATATATTAATATGGATTCATGGAGTTACGGGAAGATGGTCATTTCAACTTAAGGTTAACAGATTTAAGGAGTGGGAAGGTTATTACAATGAATATATGGGGTATGTCGACAATTAAACTTACGCGAGGCCCACGACTTAATCTGTTGTACTGACCATGCTCCCTTCAATTTCCATGATCCGGAAGATGACTGTCGAGCTAGCAGAGCTGTGCTCAACTATATTATAAAAAAAATTAAGCCAATATAATTTTATCGCCTAATGAAAGATTTACCGGCAAATAGAAAAATGAAGAAAAAAAAAAAAAGCTTATTAGTTAAGTTAGAATAGTAAATTAGAATAGTATATTAATTAGAATGATTGTCCTTAGTAACCCGTATGTAACCCCTGAGTTACAATTTCTGTCAAACTTGGTGATAACAGCCAAACAAAATTTAGCTGGGGAAAGAAAAAAAGAAATCTTTAGCTCGACTAATAGCTGAAACCAACCAGCGGACAATTATAAAGTTCCAACCAGAAGCTCTAAGAAATCTTGAAAGCACGCTAACGCGTGTGTTTCATAAACTTTTCGAATCTCTATGGCCATATGACGCGACCATGGTGCTAAGCCTATACGTAGACATAGAGGACGATGATGAGTGCGAGTTAGACGGGTGTCTACACGCCCTAGGGGAACGACGCCAGTCGGTCTCCTCACAACCGGGCCGCAGACACGTGACTTTCCAAAACCTTACGTTCTATTAGGGGCTGGTAGCGTCATATGCCCTGAGATTTGTAGAGATAAAAAAAAAAAAAGAAAAAAGAGGGCCCGCAGATAAAATTGTATTGGCCTAATTTTTTTTATTAATATAGTTGAGCACAGCTCTGCTAGCTCGACAGTCATAATTGCAAACTATTAAGACAAATTCCCTAGTAATGTTCATCCAGAGTTCTAGTGCAATTC